CCGCTCGAGATGTACCAAGTGGCAGTACAGTGTGCGAGTGGACGATGGTCGCAGCGCACGGTATTTGTGAGCACCATTAAGAGAGGGTGACCCGAGGTCTGATCCCCCGCACGGCACTTGGTGCCCTGTCACCAGGCGGCGGTGATCGCCGTCGCTCCGGGATCTCCAGAAGTGATTGCAGAACGTTGTGGAAGTGCTTAGAGAGTGACGTGAAAAGGGCCGAACGTAAAAATCGTGGTGACAGGCCTGGTTCGAGTTACTAAAAGAATAACGCCGCGATATATTCCTGACGCCTCGCAAGGCTGAAGTCCGTTTTTATAAAAAAAAAAAACGAGGCAGGACTGATGACATAACACGTTGGGCCATCGGAGAAAAACAAGTTCTCATTTTGAGTTTTACGGCGGCGCCAGGCACGATGATATATGTTTGGACCGCATGCCGTGTGTGCTGCTGCTGCTGTGGTTTAATGGTTAGCACACTGAACTTGCAATCCAAAAGTCTCCGGTTCGACTCAAGATCCTTGCACAGCGGTGGCCTTTACACCCAGCACTGTGATGATTGGTTCTGGTGGATCTCAACGGGCTGCATGATGAGCCACCAGAAAGCGATTACCAACACTTTCCCGCATTTAATCTTGTAATGCCCAAGTGTGTTTTTTGTTTATGAGGGCAGCTACTTTATTGATGTGACTTCCGTTTCTTGTACCAAAACGCTGTTTTTCTTCCTGTCCTGCCACAATGTACTGCATATGAAAAACTCATTATAATATTCATAGAGGTGGCTAAACGCTGTTATTTGTTAAAGAATAATAATATACTACCAGGACCATATATTGGAAGTACATTTTTAATAAATGCATTTTTGTTTGCCATCAGTCCAAAGAAAAAATAGTTTGGTTACATTTGTTCTGATTCATCCTGAGGTCCACGACAACATTTTTTGCGATCCGAGTACTGTCCACCACTGTCCGAGCACAGGAGTTGAAACAATGGTGCGGTACCTTCCTTAAATATCGCCTTGCACCCAGGGCAGTATCACTGCAGAGGCAGTGAGGTGTGTGTTTGTGTAGGGAGTGATACAGCCATCATGTCGTTTCATTTATGTGATCTACCTTTCCAGAGTTTTGATGTTCTTCGCCCATGGCATTCTCTCCAGCCTAGCAATGCACGTATGTTGAACTCTTTCGCAGCGTATGTAGCCAACAGTGCTAACCGGAGGTGTGGGGGAAGGACAACAAACTAACACAAAAAGCACCTTGAATGCACAACCATCTCTTGCGTCAATCCACTGCTGGGTCAGGGCCTCCCCATGCCGTGCAGGTCACGGGGGTTATTTTACCACACGTCATCACGCTGCTAAGTGCGGCTTTGTGCGGGCTGGTGCAGGCAGGGAGCGTGGACATTGGTTTTAAAGAGGTACGGAACAGCAGTGGATTTTTGGAATTGCCCTCTCATGGATGTGGCAAAGCCTGGCAGTTGCCCATGACAACCTGGCTTGACATGGTGGTGTCCCGTCCAACCATTGTCCAGGCTCCACCCCAGCTTAGCTTCCCACATCTGATTCTGCGCCTCTGATTAGCACGGTTGGCTACGAACGGTGCGAAAGAAGTTCAACATGTAGTACGTACAACACCTCTTCCTATCGTCTGAGCTTTTAATCGTCATCGTTAGTCGCTGCTTGGGTGGCTCAGAGTTAGAGCGAACGGCTCGCAGTCGCAAGGTTGTGAGTTCAACTCCTGGCTGGGGGGGGTGGTTGACTCAGCCCATCGTCCGTACCTCCGATTATCACGTGTGGCTACGTACGGTGTGAAAAACGTTCTGGCGAGATAAGATGCATTTTTATGTATTTATTTGTGTAATCTTAACACTGAAGGTTGACCTGGGTAAGCCAGAATCGGGGGTAATTGTGATTTCTTGCAAGAGATTTTCTCCAGAATTGGTGAGCCCCCTTTTGAGGCTCCTTTGCTGCAGGTGCAGATGTTCATGGGCTTCTTGATGGACTTGAACGCCCATTAATTGAGGATGACACTTCAATTAATGTTTGACTTCAATTGAATGCAGATTAATTATGTTTTATTTAGCAATTTAGAGGAAAATACTCTGTTGGCAAGACTAAACTTGCTTCGGTTACATCATGGTCATGATTAACTTAAAGTCATTACCCACAATTTGTGCATTGTTTGATGGTGTCCATCCACTTAAATTTTATTTTAATACCAACTCGTTATGCGTTAGCTTAATTTAATAATCCGCCTTTAATGAAAATCTTAATTTCATTGACAAGCCTGGTATAAATTACTCTTCAGCAGCATGTATAAAATTGATGAATATCATGTCTACAAAAGCCATCTACATTCGCATTAAATAACCTGTGATAAGCTTGGCCTTCTATCTCATCTCGATCTTTCATCCAGGCGGCAGCGTGGCGCCGCGGTCACACTCGTGCCTCGCAGCTAGAAGTGCCTGGGTTAGACTCCCATCTCAGTGCCTCTCTGTGTGGCATTTTGTATGGTCTCTCTCCCCGTTCTGCATGAGCCTCGAACTGGCTGTCCCATTTTTCGATTTAAAGCTTTCGTGACTGCATGGATTCATATTCTTGGTTCTTTCGGTAAAGTCACGAAGAAGGGAAATAATAAAATAATAAAAATAAACCAATGATATAAAAGACAGACCTGTTCTTCACCTGAGGGACGGCTGCTTGCGTTGTGGCCGAAACGTCGTGAGAATTATTTTATTATGTTTTATTTTTATTCTTTTATTATTTCCCTTCTACGTGACTTTACCGAAAGAACCAAGAATATGGCTGTCCCGTTTCATAGCGGAAAAACATTTATGTAAAATGTAACTGGTATTCGGTAAATATCCCAATGCTGAGATATTACCTTTCACCTGACTGAAATGGGATTACACATTTTAGCAATGTCGCCCCCCCCCCCACCCCCATGTACTGCCAAATCTTGGCAGGATCCTCCTGAAAAAGATAATTGAGACTCAGTGGGGCCTCTCCTGAGCAAACAAACGTAACAATGGTAGTGACACATTGTAATCGAGCCAGGAAGTTTTACTCCAGAGGCTTCAAGTTTTCCAGTAAACACTCGCTGTAAGCACGCATCCTGACATGGAGCCGCCGCTGATGGGGCTTGGAGCAATCCAGATGGTTCCTCGTGGCGACTGAGGATTAATGCGTTTAGCTCCATGTCTGGCAAGATGTGATCCCAAGTAAGTTAAATGGTGGGGCGAGAAGCGCATTTGTCAGCAGTCACTGCAACCACTTCATTTCCATGATTTTCAGTGCAATACTCGATCAATAAAACACGTGTGTGTATAAGAATGATCCTTATCTGATGGAAGCCCCTCTTAAAATTTTAAACGACGTTATACATTTAGTACAATATTCTAAATTCACCTTAAAGTGGCAGTGACGACAGGCCCAATGTGCACGGCGAGTATTGTAAGGATTTGTGCGATGTGAGGTGACACTTTACTCGGCGAAATCAACTTGTGATTGTGACACACAAAATGCCCGGCGCTCGTCAAGGAGCCGTCGTCGACAGCTGACGTTTCGGGGACAGATTCAAGCGGCGTCGTCGTTGTCAGAGAGAGAGGAAGCCTTGCCAATGGGAGGTCACACGGCAGACCCCGGTGCGTTATAGGTTGTCCGTATTGTGTAAGCTCTAAAGAAGCTACCACCTGCTGACGATTTTCTATATTTTGTTGAGTAGCCTTTTTTTCTCTTCCTTTTGTTGTTTGCCCCCTCCGGTATCTGCTGAACCGCTTTCTCCGTATATTAATTCATGACCATACTCTTAGGTTTTTTCGGTAAAGTCACGTAGGTAAAAATAAATAAATGAATAAAAATAATTGAGATAAAATAATAAATCACGACGTTTCGGAGGCAACACAAGTCTCCGTCATAAGGTGGGACCGTCACAGCTAAAATTACTGCATCAAGTGAGGCAAAATTCCAAGAGACAAGCTCTTAAATACAAGTTAAGGGGGGAGGGGGGGAGGGGCTTATCTGAATGTGGTAGCCAATGAATGGAACGTGTTTGGGGGGGTGGGTGGGGCTAAAAGAGAGGTTGTAACCGGTGTTGGCTGACAATCCAAATACAAAAAGGAGAGTACTGTTAAACGCTGGAGATGTCCACACTCGGTAAAGTAGAATAGTGCCTGTCAAATAAGATGGTCCAAATATGTTTAGTTAAATCTTTTTTTTTCTTCCAATGATTACTCAGTTTGTACCCATCATCACGGTTGAAGTTATGTCTGTGTTTGTATATATGGATGGCTTCTTGTACAAACCTTTGATGGTAGCCAGAAGGTTTGCAGAGCACCTTGGTCTCGGAAAAGACAATATCATGAGAGCCCACAGCGTTGTAGCAATGATCGGCAACGGCGGAAGACTCAATTTTGCCGTGTTTCAGATCTGATTCATGACCCTTTGGTACAGTGATCTTTTCTTACGGCCTGCGGAAAGGGTACTCGCATCATTATTAGACTGACAATAACTACCAGTGAAATATTTTATTTAGCACCCGTTTCTACGGGCACGCGACACACGAATTACATCTTGTCTCAAACGTTTGAAAGGGCACCCCCATTGGCAGCTGTCCCTGTAAGGTGACTCGGCACCTTGGCCTACAAAGAAGCATTCGTCTGCCGGTAGTGAGCAATTATTGATGCAATTGATCCTATTTGAGTAATTATTGTAATAATGTGTGTTCCAGTTTTGCCTCTTAATTGTTCCAACCCATAAAACGTATGACCTCTCTCTGGCCAAACTTGGGGCCAGCAAAATGAAACTCTTGCGTAAAGAGTCAACAGAAAAACGTCCTATTGAAATCTTAACCAGAATAGTTGTTCATACTGAAACCCCGTTCACGAGGCACAGATTCATTGAGAATGCTGAATGTGTTGCGGAGTGCAGTAAAAACCTCACGCGGATTATTCCCAACAGTCCGGCTTACGTTGCGCCCCCCTTCCTCCCGTCCTTCTCACTAGGAACTTCTACTACATCACGATGCTGCGCGACCCCGTGTCGCGCTACCTGAGCGAGTGGCGGCACGTGCAGCGCGGCGCCACGTGGAAGACCTCGCTGCACATGTGCGACGGGCGCGCGCCCACTCCGCACGAGCTGCCCTCCTGCTACGCCGGCGACGACTGGGCGGGCGTCTCTCTCACGGACTTCATGGCCTGCCCCTACAACCTGGCCAACAACCGACAGACGCGCATGCTCGCCGACCTGAGCCTCGTCGGCTGCTACAACGCGTCGTTCATGATCGAGCGTCGCCGCGGGCAGATTCTGCTCGAGAGCGCCAAGCGCAATCTGCGCGGCATGGCCTTCTTCGGACTCACCGAGTTCCAGCGGCGCACGCAGTTCCTGTTTGAGCGCACGTTTCAGCTGCGCTTCATCGCGCCGTTCACCCAGTACAACGCGACGCGCGCCGCCGGCGTGGACGTGCCCAACGCCACGATGGCGCGCATCCGCGAACTCAACGACATGGACGTGCAGCTGTACGAGTACGCGCGCGACCTCTTCCTGCAGCGCTACCAGCGGGCGCGGCGCCTCGAGCGCCAGCGCCAGCGGCAGCAGGAGCGCACCGGCCCTCGAGCCTGGTGGTTTGGCCGCGCCGAAGCGGCGCCCGCGCCGGCCGCCGTGGCCGGGGCCGCCGATCCGACGCGCGGCGGCGGCGGCGGCGGGGACGGCGACATCTCGCAGGAAGAGGAGGAGGAGGCGGAATTTCTCGAACAGCAACTGGAAAACGATTTTAAGCTGCAGCAGCGGCAGCAGCTGGAGGAGGAGGAGGCGGCTGCGGCCGAGCCGGCGTTGCCAAGTGACGGAGGCGCCCCAGACGGCGGCGCCGGTCGCGCCGAGCGGCAAGGTGGCGGCGGAGACGGCGAGGGCGGGGTTGTTGCGGAGCCGAATGCCCCACGCCCGGCGAACAGCGACTACTCCGGTCACGTGCAGAAGTGGTGATGCGGAATACGGCCACTGCGGCTGAGAAGGCCGCGGGAGACACGGGATTGTCAGAGAATGCATTCACAAGACGCACGCGTACAACACATGCCAACAAGCACACCCTGTAGAGGCATTGTGGTGGAGGTTTCATGGACTTTATGACCCTAATCCATTTCAGAATTCTGGTACTCTAAATTTTTTTAGTCATTGAAAAACACATTCCGGGATTTGAATTAAGAATGAGGTGACACCACAACTTTTACAGCCTCATCACAGAGTCTTTTTTTAGAAGACAAGTTAAATATTGTGTGTGTGTGTGTATATAGCTGTGTTGTCAATGCAGATAAAGGACCTTGCATAGTTATGGTGTGGTGTAATGGGCTGTTTAAGATTCAATGTATCGTGAACACCATTCGTTTTGCTTGCAGTATATGCAGAGAATATATTAACACGTGTTTTATTTAAAACAAAGTAATCCGCGCCAAAAAAAAATGAGTGGGGAAAGTGGTTTTGGTTCCGGCAGCAGCGGATCGCTTTTGGTGTATTTGTGCAGTAGATGTGTGAAGAGTTTAGCTCTGTGTGGCCGTACAGACGTTAATGATTTTTGACATGGAGCTGTGATGTGATGCATCTCATTGTGTGGTGTACTTTAACTTTTTGCTGATTTAGTGATGTTGAAACGAAACAAACAAAAAACTGTTATGGTAAAATGTTCAAAACCATTTTCGGTTGGAATCCAAGAACACCCAATGTAGTGACTGCAGCGAAATTTTTCGCCTTTTTCCTCTGATGAATCACAATTTCTGTATAGTTAAAATCTATGCCTTTTATTAGCGATAGAGAAACACAATCACTTTCAGCTTTGGGACTAAAAATGATGATCGCATGCATTGTCTCGTTTGTGTTGTAGGCACCATCGTGGTTTCAGAAACCTCCGACTCATTATGCAATCGTTGATTGTGGAAGTTGATTTTGGATCAGCCAGAACTCGCCTACTTGTGACCAACTTCCAAAAGTGAAACTCATTTGAATCGGCAGATATCACTTCAAACGAAGTCTCCAAAGGTTTGTGCTTGAAGCCGCGCCAAAAAAAGTGACGCTAACGTGAGACTTGTGCAATGCTCGCCCATTGTTCGTGTCCCAAGCTTGCGGAAATTCCACGTTCTGGTGGCAGGGACTCTTTTAAACACGCCAACCACCATTCATTTGCTTCCCGCCAAGTGGTGTAACTTGAACAGGTTGTGTTAATTTAGCGCGCAGGTTTTTTTTTTGGTGACCAAAACGATTCGTAACATTTAACAACGTGGATTGTGCAACTCCCAACACCCGGCGTGCTTGAAGCAGTAATGCATTGGGACATTGTGACAACTTTATTAATTGGCTGTGTGAGGTGGAGGAGGGCACACGACCACATATTTGGCTGACGCGGCGATGTAACCCATCAAATCGACGAGGAATCGGATGGCGTTGGCTTTTATTGAAGCTGGAAGGTTACCGTGGTGGGCTGACGGTGAATTTGAATTCGATCTCTTGGCATTGCGATGGAGAGAAGCTTTTGATCTCCCGTCGTCGTCTGCGCTGTCCTCGATCTATCCTCATCTCTCTCCCATCACTGATCCTGTTTAAGGTGTAGCACCGCGTCCCCACAACTTAAACACGGTGATGTTGTATGTGTCAAAATATTGCTTTTTTATTATTTTCGTTTGCTCGGAGGGTTTTGTTGTTTGTGATTAATTACACCTGTGCTGTTTTAGAAATTCCACCCCCATGACTGCTTACTTCTGTATAATAATAATACTCTTATATTTATATATGCAGTACATATTATATATACTGTACATAGCTTATGTATAATCTAACTGTGAATGAACAGCTGCACTGATTGAACCTGATTGGAAGTTGAAAACGTGTATATTATTATAATAATTGACATTTACTATAATAAGACCGACAGATGTGTAATCCTGTAAGGGTCTCATATTATAAATAATGTGTAAGTCTTATTCAGTTGGCTCCCTCTAATCCAGCGGTGTTTTGGATCGGAAGTCTCGCAGATCAGCATATTATTTTTTCGGATCGGTGGTTGTCCCATTAGGAAGGAAATGCATCGTCTGTGATTAGTTGGTTCCCTTTGCCTAGCTAACTCGTGAGGTGGCACCTGGGGCACGCTGTTGCGTGCCGCTGTCACCATGTAGATGCTTGTGACGTTTGCTATTCGTGCATCTTTTATTTTATTTTATTACAGTCGGTTTGCATGTGCAGTTGGAACGGCCACGGTTTAATTCTTTTTTTTTATATTGAAAAATAAAGTGAAAGAGAAAAAAATATATACACACTGCCCTTTTGACCGAAGGATGAGGGTTTTAATTAAAGGTAGATCGCTATTTGAGCGAGTTTGCTATACACTGTGTGTGGCTTATAGAGGAGGGGGGTGAGCGTTGTCATTAGGGGAGCGGTGGTGTAGCGGTTAGCGCGCTGCGCAACGAACCTGACGACCAGGATTTGATTCCCGCTCACGGACAACATCGGTGACAATTATCTGAACCAGTCCTGGGCCTCCCCTAGGTCGAGTCAGCCTCGAATGAGTACTGTACCTGGCGCGGTGTGTAAACATCGCCACTGGGGAGACAAAGGCGGTCGGGCGTGGTGTTGGCCATTCACGCCCTCGTGTACTGTGCAGGCCTTCATAGGTGCTCGCTAACAGCACTTGCCCCAACAGTCTGTTAAGGCTATACGGGGGATATTTGTCTTTGTTTGGGCTCTCATACTATGGTAGGAGTACGTGAGAATGTGTGTTTTAATCTGTAACTGCCAACATTTCTTTGGGGAAAAAACTGTAATACCGATTTGGGCTGCTGCCTTTACTAAATATAGTTTTATATCAGAACTATACAGCTAATATGTGCTTTTCGGCAAGTTCAATAATTGCCTTCCTTCAAAAAAATTATTCTCACACACTGCTGTTCCTCATCAGTATGCAAAGCCATCGTAGATCCTGCCCAAATGCAGCTATCGTCTTCTTCATATGACTGACGGTGCTGATGTAGAGCAACAACTGTATGGTATAAAGTACCCATTCTGAAATCTCCAATGTTTCTGCAGTTTACAGACGTTTGATCTTACGTTGCTTCATTCGGTTTTAGAGTCCCAATCATAGTTTGGTTTAATCGAGGAACCTTTTCACGATGATATCTGCTGAGAACGTGTGTTGTGCATTGCCAGTTAATCTCTTTAGATCACGTTCAGACCTAATAAAATACCTTAACCCTGGTCCACTCCATTTAACAAACGATACTCATTTTAATTATTTTCTACAAAATAGAAGTTGGCAGTTGCTTTCATTTACATGACCGAAAATAATAAAGCATGTAAGCAGACCGCCAAACCGGACAATGCAACACGGTCTTTTATTTCATTAGTAGTAGTATTATTATGATGCTTTTTAATCCAGGACGGCTTTGCTAAGACTCGATGCTTTTTTCCGTAGGCTCCTGACTTTTCACAGTCGGCAAGCAAATGCTGCAGCTGCTGCTGCGTATAACCCCATTTGAGTAATTTGCAGGTATTTCTTCAGCAATGGGAGGTTTGGCCAATACCAATTACGTTGTATGTTTTTTATAGCTATTTCCCGCACCTCCGATTAGCCACGGTTGGCTACGTACGGTGCAGAAGAAAGCGCCGCTGCCGCCCAACGGGGTTTGTCGCGCTGTTCAAGCGACTCTTATTACACGTGGCTGGTGATGAGATAGACACCTGTAAAATTCAATTCGGAGGACCGGTAATATTTCAATGTGGGGATGGTGTCCATGATATGGATGTAACACCCATCTTTCTTGTGAATTGTGCTGAGTTTTGGTCACGTATTGGTATGGGCTTCTCACACACAAACATAATTATCAACGAATTGACCTTACAACAACAACGAAAAACAGTTTTTACTCCCAAAATGGATTATCGTGTTTAAGGAGTTTAATGGTCTCAGCCCAGGGACTATTGTCTGAACACAAATTAGTCGGTGGCTTTTGCACTTAATGAAATCTCGGCAAGATCTAAAGGTTTAATTTCTCTGTAGATGAACACAGTGAAGCACTGTACACGTTAAAGGATCGTCGTTTTGAGGTTGGGATGAGAGAGACTTCTGAAATCATTTCCCAATTTGACATTTTGAGACTCGTGTTTGTAAAAGGCTTCCATGATCAACAACTGCGTCGTTGCGTCGCCTTGTCATCGACAGTCAATTCTGATGTGGAGTGGATGGTAACTTGTGAGGAAATGTACCCAGTTCGCAGGGCTTTAAGAAGGGTTATTATTTGGTTCTTTCGGTTAAGTCACGTCTAAAGATAAAATAATAAATTAAATAATAGCATACGACGTTTCGATTGCAACACAAGCAATCATCATCAGGTATAATGAAATAGCGACATAAAATCTAACCAAAATCTAAAGTTCTAAAATTAAGATTGACTTTAAGAAGGGCTCCATGTAGCTTTGACTGTGCTTGCCGCCAGGATGGTTTTCATGGAATTGAACCTTCTTCAAGTATATCACGGTCAAGGAAATGCAACTGAAGTCTAAACTGTGTCTGATAGATCATGCTAAAGACACCATCTAAATCATTGCTCTCTCAAGAGTGCAGTTGTGTCCAGGTGCTGATGTAGTACAGGAGAGTGGTTACAAGTATAATGGAATTATGGCTTTTATAAAAAGCACTACATTTGCAGTTTTTGTTTTAAGCATTACGAATGGTAACAAAAACTTGTACAGCTTGACCGATGAACAACATTGATTATGGACTCACTTGAAAATGTCCAAAGTGACCACAAACAAGTATAAAAAATAAAAACTGATACAAATCACACATTGATTTTGAGGACTCATCCATCACCTGGCACGATCTACCCACCACGATCTACCCACCACGATCTATCCACCACGATCTACCCACCACCATCTACCCACCACGATCTACCCACCACTAGCTACCCACCACGATCTACCCACCACGATCTACCCACCACCATCTACCCACCACGATCTACCCACCACGATCTACCCACCGCGATCTACCCACCACGATCTATCCACCAAGATCTACCCACCACGATCTACCCACCACGATCTACCCACCACGATCTACCCACCACGATCTACCCACCACGATCTACCCGCCACGATCTATCCCACCACGATCTACCCACCACGATCTACCCACCACGATCTACCCACCACGATCTACCCACCACGATCTGCCCGCCACGATCTGCCCGCCACGATCTGCCCGCCACGATCTATCCGCCACGATCTACCCACCACGATCTACCCACCACGATCTACCCACCACGATCTACCCACCACGATCTACCCACCACGATCTACCCACCACGATCTACCCACCACGATCTATCTACCACGATCTACCCGCCACGATCTACCCACCACGATCTACCCACCACGATCTACCCACCACGATCTATCTGCCACGATCTACCCGCCACGATCTACCCGCCACGATCTATCCGCCACGATCTACCCGCCACGATCTACCCGCCACGATCTACCCGCCACGATCTATCCTGCCACGATCTACCCGCCACGATCTACCCGCCACGATCTACCCGCCACGATCTACCCACCACGATCTACCCACCACGATCTACCCACCACGATCTACCCACCACGATCTACCCACCACGATCTACCCACCACGATCTACCCACCACGATCTACCCACCACGATCTACCCACCACGATCTACCCACCACGATCTACCCACCACGATCTACCCACCACGATCTACCCACCACGATCTACCCACCACGATCTACCCACCACGATCTACCCACCACGATCTACCCACCACGATCTACCCACCACGATCTACCCACCACGATCTACCCACCACGATCTACCCACCACGATCTACCCACCACGATCTATCCACCACGATCTACCCACCACGATCTATCCACCACGATCTATCCACCACGATCTACCCACCACGATCTACCCACCACGATCTACCCACCAAGATCTATCCACCACGATCTACCCACCACGATCTATCCACCGCCGAATGAAGGCCTCCCCACGTTGGTCGCCGCTGCCGCCGTCTTTCACGCTCCAAAGATGCCATCACTGCTGCGCGTGAATTGATGTCCGTTGCTCCATCTCCGGTGATCATCCTCTCCGACATGTTTCCCTACTTTGCTGCCGTCGTCCTGTCACCAGTTTCTGCCATCGGCCGTCGTCTTCAAGGGATCGTCTCCTGCCCGAGTCCACTAAATTCTCTTCGCAGTCCATGTGTTGATTAAACGTTGCCATGTGTGTTCCATGTGTTCCTTCTGTCTGAGTGTCATTCCAAGCATGCACCTTTTCGTACTTCTTTTCCATACTTTTTAGCCCTTTGTTCCATGTTCTTTGTCAATATGTTTCTGATCCATGTGGCCAGTTAGATACACGAATTGGAAACTTCTCATTCTGGCACGTTTAGTCACCTTGTGTTGCTTTTCATTATCAAATGTATGTACGTGACTTTTATCAGTGCACTCCGGGATGATTGGCTTCTCGTGCTGTGTGAATGGTGGGGATTCCTTGACCATATTCTGGTCTGTGCGAGTTGGAGGCGGGGTGGATAGACATGTGGGCATAGTACAGTGCAACAATTGCTTATGCTGCACAGCGCTCTGCTGCCCATAAAGCAACCCTCCAGAAGCCAATTGACGCCCCTTGTCACGGCCACCCATTCTCTGTGATGAACTCCGTCTCAACATTATTTGTTCAAAAATATGTTGCACCGTGCAAATGCATAGGCACGCCACGCAAGCCTCACGGCACACACGGATGGATGCATGACGCAGCGTGTGCGGGCAGCGGGCTCCATCTCCCATTTGAGTGATGCAGTCGACCTTGAGGCGATCTGCGCCTCCCAGCGATGGACGAAGACGGGGACGGGCTCTGACCCTCGTGGGTGCCGACACTTGCACCCAGTGCTCTGACCGGCGATGATTTGTAACGTTGAAGTCCGCACAAGTCCGGGCCCCTTGAGGCCCAGGTGACCACCTCTGCTGCAATTGAGCGCCTCGCATTTGACAGCACTTCGAACGCACGTGGGGACCTGGGGGTGGCAGCGACGTGTTGGAATAAAAAAGGAGTTCTAGCAGAAGTCCTACAGATTCATCCATCTCTCGTATTTACTGCCTCTTACCATTCTCAACGGTGAACCCATTGCCAAAGCTGTGACCGATGAGACGGGGAGCCCCACGGCGATCTAGGAAATCGCAGCAGGGAGATCACGGCCCTACCGAACGCCACGTTAGCCGAGGCCACCGGTTCTAACCTGCAATGTTCGATACATTAATCCGAATCTGTATTTAGGCTGGAGGAATCTGATTAGCTATGAGGCTCTTTTTCACAGATGTCTACAACCCGGCTGTACTCCAGGTATGGATTGATGTTGCACTTCTTTCGCACCGTACATAGCCACCACTTTGCAATTGGGCCCTGTTGGGGAGACCCCTGTTCTGCATGCCCGTGGAGTTTCCATTCCTCCTCTCGTCGAATGACGTCAAAATTCTCACCAAGCATCAACAGGTCGGAATTACTAAAACACTAATGCACCTCTTCAACCAAATACCTGACCGCTTTCTTATTCACTGGCTGCCCGCTAACGTCCTTGAGCAATGCCTTGCCAAGACATGCACGTACACGTGTGTATGTTGAACTTCTTTCGCACCGTACGGTAGCCAACCGTGCCATTCGGAGTCCAACTGTCGCCGCCGACTCACGCCGGCTTGTGCCCGCCCTCACAGTCGGCCATATTTGCGGAATACACCACGCCGCCGTTGACCCTGGCCGAGTTGGGGAAAATATTAAATTTCTCGTCCATTCTCGACGGACGTGGACGGTGGTTCGGTCCGACACTTTTTTGTGATCCAAATAAAACGTCGAAGCCGCCATCTTGTCCCCCACACTTTTTGGTGTTGCTTATCGCGACTAAAAAAAAACGTCTCTTTCGATTCGGCTGTAAAAAGAAACACGAATTCCAAGTTTTGTTTTTCAGCAGTGGAAGGGAAATATTGCCTCTTGATATTCTGATACCTGGAGGGACCGGTGATTTTTTTACTGCGGGTTGCTCCAAACATGCTCTCGGCAATCTGGTGATAAAATTCAAGAAGTTAGCTATCTCTCCTACCCCACACGTAACAGGATACGTCCCATTCTGAAAACACTACCTTGTAAAACTTCACCAGTGGCTGAGAACACACCAAGGTCTGTCTGAACCAATAATGTGTTCTCGACAGCACCCGGAACAGCACACGTAAGCTGTCCTGACAACCCCCTACATTGCCAGTACAATACATCATCCCTACATGACACATACACGTGTGTGTGTGTGTGTGCGCGCAAATCCACACTCGCGATCATGGGGCATATGAGCAGCGCAGTGTCTTGTGTGTGGGGTGTTATATAGTTAAAGATTCCAAAGTAGGGCTAAACGAGTTGGGGAAAATATTTAATGGCGATTTCTCTGACATTGCGATTTGATTTGCGATTTTAAAAAATGTTTTAAGTCAAGCTTCAGTTCGATATTCACTGCGTAATAGATGTAAGAGATGTGATGGAGCATTACCACATGATACCATCAAAATATGAACTGCTCTATATATTATAATGCTAAGATGAGAACTTAAAAGATATCAATTGCTTCCAACATGTATTTATAAAAAAATAGAACAATCAAACATAGAACAATTGTTAAGTTAAATAAATAATGTTATTATAATCATATAATTCCAATAATAAAATATTTGGAATTTTTAAATCGCAAAAAAATGCTAATCGCGTTGTTTCAAGATGCGATTTCGATTTAAACTCGATTAATCGTTCAGCCCTATCCCACGACATCATGTTTGTTGTCAGCACTGAGGGTTCGCCTGGCGATGCCCTCCAAGAGCGAGATGATCATTTGTCGGGAGTCATCTCTCCACTGCCCTTCACATCGTCTCGTCCATTGGCGTGCGCCGTCCTATTGACTCGGCAGGGCGCGTGATCGGGCAGGTGAAGCCACGGAGAGATCACGGGAAGCTGTTGACTTGAAGCTGCGCCAATGTCGTTCCCTACATGGCCCCAGTGGCAACCCGACCGCACCGCGCGCCTTTCACCTGCCGATAGCAGCGCAGGTGAAAGTGTTGGCAAAGCGTTTTGTTTGTTTCCTACGGTGGTTGTCGACAAGCCCTGGCTTAGACACAACTGAATTGCATCGTGTGCTGCTGCTGCTCTCGTCTGCACCATGCGGAACCCCTCTGCCGCTATTCCTTCAGTGTTCCAAAACGATCTGAGCGCTAAGAACACATTCCTCCTGCGGAGGGAGCTGGTAGGAACGTTGGGTTGCTCGGTCAATGGCCAGGGTCAACGGCGGCGTGGTGTATTCCGCAAATATGGCCGACTGTGAGGGCGGGCACAAGCCGGCGTGAGTAGGTTAAACGTTGAGTTTTATAAGGGCACCACGGGGTGACCAGCCCCTCCCCACCCAGCCCCACCCCTCCCACCCTCCGCACCCAGCCCCACCCTCCCCACCCTCCCTACCCAGCCCCTCCCCACCCTCCCCTCCCCACCCAGCCCCTCCCCACCCAGCCCCTCCCCATCCAGCCCCTTCCCACCCTCCCCTCTCCACCCAGCCCCACCCCTCCCATTTTTGGATGCACAACGGACGGACGGACACAATAATCCCCTGTGGGCTGGTGGAACCAGGAGGTTACTACCAGTAAAATACAGTGTCGCCTCCTTACCGCATCTGCGATCGAAGGCTTCGTAAGCCTTTGTGACTCAAGGTGTAAAAAAATCGTCATAGGTGCTTTGGGTAAAGTAAGTTCTGCCGGAGC